ATCTTGCTTCATGGCACGACTTTCAATTAGTGGATAAATTAGATTCTGCGCGATCGTGGAGAGCAACTAGCCTATGGAAACCGATTTCAAACAAACTGCGTCTGCTATCTTCATACTTCAGAGATAACCTGCCTGTTTACGGCAACAGGCTTATTGATGCAACGACTAGTACACCTGCTCCTCCACAAAGGCCTCGATGACCTCGGCAACCTTGATATGCCCATGTGCCCTGGCAAGCTCTGCAGCCGTCCCGGCAACCTTGAACGGCACCCTGGCGATCTTTGTTCTGATATTCTTGTCGACGCCCAGCTGCAACAACCACTTTACCACCTCCATGTGGCCCTTTCCAGCCGCGTAGTGGAGCGCTGTGTAGTCCCCAGCTGCCCTTTTGTGCGGCCAATACCCACAACCGAGCAAGAAGCTGGCGCAGGAAATATGCCCGCCGTTACAGGCCCATATGAAGGCGTTGGTCTCTTGAGGTGTGTTGTAGAACTTCTGAGCGCCGCGGTCGAGCAGGAGGCGCATGATTGGCAATGAACCTCTCTGGGCGGCGAACATGAGGGGTGAGCCGGAATGTGCACTCTTACCATTGGCGTTTGCCCCGAGTTCGAGCAACAGGCGGGTCATTGGCAGATTGTTCGAGTTTATGCTGATTTGTAGTGGTGTACTCTTGTCGTTGGCCTTGGCATTCATATCAGCAGACTTTGAATCGAGCAGCCTTACAAAGCCCGGTCGCTTCTCCTTGACGGCAAGATGAACTAGGGTTCTTCCTCTCTCGTCCGTCGGGGTCGGGCTGGCCCCGTGATCTACTAAGGCTCGCATGATGTCTATGTCCACTGTGCCCTTCTTCCCGTTCTTCCCTAGAGGGTGCCAGGCTAGTTTTACCGGTGTTCGGCCTTTTGAGTCCGGCTGTGTCGGGTCAGCCCCTTTGCGAAGCAAGTAGCGGACGACGACGTTCGCCGAGTGCAAAACCGCGAGGTGCAATGCATTGAACCCGTCATCGTTCAGATCTTTCCAGCCGGCGCCCTGTAAGAGCAACGCCATGGCTGTTTCTGTCTGTCCAGCCTTGAGAGCTGCATATAATGGTGTGTCCTGAACGTTATTTGCGATGTGCACGTCAGCGCCGAGGGCGAGAAGCCTCTCGAGGATTGACAAAAAGCCTTCGCGAGCGGCAATGTGGACTGCTCGGTCGCCATTCTCGAGAGCTACGTTGATAGGGCCCTTGCGTGCCAGCACCTCTTTCACAGTATTATAACTGTCGCTCTTGACGGCCTTCAACAGATCCTCAGCATAGGACCGTGAATCTCGTTCTCCTGGCTTCTTATGATATGGTTTCAAGTCATCCTTGGGAGGCATAGGACTCGAAGATCGAGGTGGTTTCAAGATGCCCGTCACGTGTAGTGATTGCCGCCTAGTGTGGAGTTATAGTGAGTTGCGAATGACGGATTCGAGATCCTCTCTCGAAAATACTTACAAATTAAGCGCCATGACGACAGAGTTCATCATTTCTCTCTGGTTTCTGAGGCTCTGCATCGTGTCCTTGAAGAATCCTTCGTTGAAGACCCAGTATGCCCTAATGTATGTCTTTTGCCATACCTTGTCGCTTGCGTCAATGTTGACTCCTCTGAGCTTCTTCTCGAGTATCTGAAGCGTCGATTCGATATCCGTTGCTGTGTCTATAAAACTCCCTAGCAGCTCTACATCGGAGCTATTCGTATCCCGTTCCATGTTCGGGTTTTTCAGAATGAGCTCCTTTAAGGCCACGCAGAGCCGCTCCGTCCAATTGCGCTCGGCCCTGAGCTGTGTGACATCCTGCCCTGCATTGGCGTACTTCTCAATCAAGTCCTTCGTGATCTTGCAGAGTTCAATGGCTGAAGTGACTGTGCCTATGGCGTCCATGTTGGTGAGAGACGAGGAGCTGCAGTTTGGCTGGTCGCCGAGATGGGATTGGCATGGCGATGCGGTCGTTCCGGCGTTGATATATGGCGCTCTCTCCTTTCACCCCTCATTCTGCCTGCTGTATCGTGGCCAATGGAAGGTTGCATGTCCCAAGCTGACATGCGCGCGCGCCGGGGCGGCCATCAGAAATACGGGCTATGTGATCCCATTCGTTGGTCTTGGCTGACGGGATAGCTTGAGTGGAACGTCACTCTCGGTGCTTACTCGACGCCTCTTATTGCTGTAGCTGGTTCGCCATTGCTGGACAACCCAGCGAGCGGGTGAGTTAGCCGAATGAGACCGACCACGCCGGGAAGTCAAGTGTTGAGTTCCATTAACGTGTGAAGGAACAGACAGTTGGAAAGGCATCGCACATAGTGTTGTTGGAGACATAGGATGCGAATGTCGAAATGTGGGATGCCTCATATGACGACATTGCTCTGGAGAAAACAGGCGATATCCCTGCTTTCCATCAAGGTTGATCATCAGACCTCTTTCCCGAGCGTAAGGTTCGCCAAGGATGGGAAGTGCGAACGCTCATGATGAGTTCGAGGGTAGAGCTTTCCATAGATTTCGAATCACCGCTTGCTTGCTGGCGTCGAGATAAGGTGGCAGCAGCAGCATCCTTCGCGAAGGTACTAGCTTGAGTCTGTTCTTGCGACGGTACCGAAGGGCTGGGCAAGACACGTTCGATGCGGGATGGTCTCCGGAGCTCTCACGAAATTCAGGTACGTAAACCAGGGTTTATCAGGGCAGGGGCCGGCTGTCATTCGCTGAGCTGCCATCTGAACCGTTGGTCGGTGTCTGTGTGGTGCTCAGCACATGTGCAAGTACCGTTCCGCCGCGGGACGCGGCCAGTGAGTGTGCGTGCGTCCCATGCATGGCTGAAGGCTGATGTGCCCGATGGAAAGGATGAAGAAGGGACAGAAACATGGAAACGGTGTCTCCCACTCGCAAAGTGCCAGGGGCCAAGACGCTAAGACATCCCGCAGTCATCTGCAGGCGTGCGCCGCCTCGAGATAACCTTAGCTTGGGGGTCTGGAGTCACTGATAGTAGTAGGTGATCCGATGGAGGTACTTTGTACTCTTTCTCTCAGCCTGTCTCTATCTTATGATGTGACGACGAGCTGCCAGGAACCGATGCCTTATCTATATATAATATTACTGACGTACCTGTTTTCCTCCTGCCCCCCGGTCCAAAGCTTGTGATCTTGCAGAATAAAATATCCAGCCATCGCTCCAACTTTCTTTTTGGGGCAGGATTTCTTCATCTTAAACTCACCTGCCAAGACCAAGTACCCCCGAAAGACAACCATCACACCACATTTATCGCTCTACAACAAACCCATTCACAATGACGGCCGAAGTATCCCACGGACGCGGCGGAGCTGGAAACATCAATCCCGACGACACCCAGTACGTCGATGGCGAAGTCGTGAGGACCGGTCCTGAGGGTTCCCAGGGCCACGGAGCCTACAGCGCAGGCAGAGGAGGTACATAAGACATCCGTTTTCTTATCAGTGTCACCCCCAGCCCCCTGCGGCATCGGCGCGATGAGCTCACGAAGCCGACCCTCACCCCACCGCCTTTGTAATTGCGTCGCAAAGTCGCGCTCTTGAGAAACGCCGCTCATCGACTGACTGTATGCAAATCACAGGTGCCGGCAACATTGGCGACGCAGGCTCTGCGCCCGCCCCGCGCTCCGACAAGGACCTCGTCCCGGAGGAGGCCTACCGCCCCTCGACCGAGAACCAGGACTACCACGGCGGCCGCGGCGGCGCTGGCAACGCGCACAAGTCGATCGACCACGAGAAGAAGGCCGCCGCCCAGGCCCGCGCCGACGGCACTGCTGGCGTCAGCGTCGCCGACAAGCTCAAGGCCAAGATCCTTGCTCCTTTCCACAAGAAGTAAAATTTCATGGCATGGCGTGAGCGGGTGCAGATTGAAAATGATGCGAAAAGAATGCATGGCTAACAGAATGATGTGGATGTTTAATGTGGTGGCGGGATGCATGGATTGGCACCAGACTGTTTGTTGTGTGCTGTGCGTTTGAGTGGCTTTTGGTTGGAAGTTGTTAACATACCCTTCACGATATCCCCATTTCATAGATATGCTTCCTCTTGAGAACTTTGAATGATATCCTGCCGCTGGCTCAATTTACCGTGGCATCAAATTTCTCAATTACGGGCTTTTGTAATGAGTCAATCAGCAAAATCCGGGTCAATGTCGCAAATGCTGTTGCGAAAATCATGTTCAACATCAGCAACTGAAACAGTGACCAAGAAAGCGCATACAATTTGTCCTCTAGATCTAATCAGCACATCTCCTTAATATCGCAAACATCACCCCCTTCATCTTTAATCGGATGATGGATTTCTACGTTGCTTGAATTGATCTCTTGTGGCTGTTCTGGGTAACCTTGTGAGAAAAGGCTAATGCAGTTGCTAGCATCTTGACGTGTGTTTTTCTCTTCCCGAATACCCGATACAAACAAATGCATTTGGAAAGTGTTTTTTTATCCGGGTCAAAAGAGAGCAAGAAAGACTGGGTAAACCAGGAGAGGTCCTATATTTCCCCTGTGCTAGAGCGACTATTCCTTGAGGATGTTTACTATTTATTAGTGTCATTTTCATCATCGTCGTCGTCGTCGTCGTCACCTTTGCCATTGTTGTTGTCGTTGTCGTTGTTGCTGTTGTTGTTGTTGTTGTTATTTTCTTCGTCTTTGTCACCGTCATCGCCTCTATAAATGTAATCATTCCTCCTATGTTTGCCCCTACTGCTGTCGTACTCGGTTGAAGTAATTTTGTGCACAGTAAATGTAGCTGCGCACGTAGAGGAATCAGGCGGGCTCAATCAAAAACACAACTGTGCCCGGAGAGTTGCGGTGCCTGGCGCATATCAAACTTGATGCTCTGCAGGGATATGCTTTGAACGAAAGAAGATATCGGTAAAAGCAGTATCAGACGAACGAACTCTATGTGTGCCTTGTATATGCTCTCGGTTAAGTCAACACCACACAACACGGCAGATACACAATGCAAAAATAGCAAAAAAAAACATTTCGACGAAGACAAGATTCGAACTTGCGCGGCCGAAGCCATTTGATAACGAGTTAATTCGAGTCAAACCCTATAACCACTCAGGCACTTCGCCGTGTTTTTTGATCCATCTTATTGTGGAATAATACCCTAGGGGTGGATGGAATGTGGTGTTGTGCCATCCTCGTATTCGTGTGTGGCGGCGGCACGATTTGAGGTCCCCACGTATGTCGTCGTAACAAGCCGGATCTCAAACATGTTATTTCAATACTATAGAATCTCAAGGATATGAGAATCTATACCCCCCTGCCCACCCCACCTAACTAACCTAAAACACCACCTTTTCTAACGCTAATACTACCCTTTAAGAGCCCTAAATCAGCCTTTTTTAGCAAGCAGTTAATATATACTAACTTATTATTATTTCCTATATCTACTATAATTTTCCCTACTTCTAGTAGTACTAAGTATATTATAATATATTAACTACTTATTACTTAGATAGCTTAATATTAACCTTTTATAGAGATTAATCTAAATATTTAGCTAGTAGTGCTAGCTATAACTAGCCTCACTATACTACTTAAAAAGAAGCTATATAAGCTTAAGATTACTCTATATATTAAGAAGTAGTATATTAAGATTAAGCTAATCTAAAATATATACTATAGCTACTCTAAGTATAAGTAATACTAAGTATTAATATTCCTTAAATATTATTATATTAATATTTAACTTAGCTACTTATAGTACTTCTATAATAATAAGAGCTACTTTAAAAATACTTATTATTATCCTATTTATAATAAAACCTCTAAGTAGTTTATAATATTAATATTAACACTTATAAAGTAGTATTATATATATCGCTAGATTTTTAAGCTTACTTTATATAAACTATAGTACTAATTAGACTTTCTAATCTTAGAAACTACTTTCTATAAGTTATTTATTAAGTAATATAATATAAACCTTATTATATTAACTAAATAGTTCTAATAAACTACTAGAGACTTATTTACTACTATTTATTTATATTAACCTATCTTATATATTTTTACTTTTTTATATAGTTAGTTTTTAGGTTTCTACTACTACTAGAATATTAGCTACTATTAGATTACTAAATAGGCTTTAAAATTACTTAAGAAGTATATTAAAATTATTAACTCCTTTTTATAGTTTTATTAATATATTAACTAGTTTATACTTACTAAGTTAGAAGGTCTTTTTATTAAATATATACTTAATAAAGAGGTTAGCTAGTGCTTCCTATATAGTTATATCTTTAACCTTAATAAAACGCTTATCCCCTTTAAATACTTTAATAGTTTAACTTAGGCAGTCTCTAATAGTAAAACTATTACTAATAAAACTAACTATAGTAATTAGAGTAAGTAATAAGCTATATTAATCTTATATATCTTTATAGATAAGATTTAATACCTTAAGCTTAAGTTAATCTTTTATAGTAAGCCTTCCTTAATAAGTAGTAAAATTAAAGCTAATAAAAGTTACTTTTACTACCTTAATATTATTATTAAGTTTAATAATATTATATATAATAATAAAGCCTTTTTTTTATATTAGATTAATAAGGAGTATATTTAAGTTACTACTAATAAGAAATACCTACTTATTATAAATATCACTAGTTTTTATAAAACTATAGTAATTATTAATAAACTTAAATAACTTAGTATAATATTAATATTAATCCCCTTAAGTATAATATTATTTTTATAACCTCTTAATACTACTATTAATAAGCTATTTAAATAGTAGCTTATTAAAGCTATAGAGTAATATATACTTATTAAAGAAGCTACTATTAGTAGTAAACTATTTAAATAGTTAGTCTCTAAAAAGTATATAATAGTTATATAAATAGTAGTTATTACTACTTACTACTTAGCTTTTAAAAAGGCTAAGATAGTTTAAAAAGCTTTTATTTAATATAATATTAATACTAATCTTAATAGTAGTAATATCTTAAAGATTAGAGTTAAAAATATCCTTACTAAGTTTATTAATTATATAGGATAAAAGAACTTTAACTATACTACTTATATTAAAAAAGAGGTTACTAATAAAGAATTATCTAATACCTATATACTTATAAATATTAACTAATATTATACTATTATAGAAAATATCTCTTATAGTATTTATAATATAATCTTCACACTTATTAATCTACTTAATATATCTTAACTTAGTTATTATTAATATAAGTATAAGTATATTTAGAGGTGTAGTATATATACCTATATAGTATAGGGTTATAAATAGAGTTAAGTTATAATAAAAAGTAATAATCCTAAGTATTTATAGGTATTTAATTATATAGATAATAATAAGGAAAAAGATATATTATAATAATTCCTATTATTATTATTAGTAAGTTATTCCTTAGAGTAGGGAAAAGTAAAGGGAAAGATAACTTAAAATATAACTTATTAAACTACTAATTATATAAAGTACTTATATAACTATATATATTATATAATTAATATTATAGTTATAAGTTATAATAAATAGAGTATTTTTATATAAGGTTTTATATTTTAAAGTCTATTAGTTTATTTTATATAGAATATTTAAGTAAATAAGTATTATTATAAGTATTATTATTATTATATAAGATATTATATATTAATATCCCCCTTTAAAGTATATATAGTTAATTTATAGTATATAGCTTACTTACTTAATATATATATATATTATAGGTATAAAAAACTTAAAAACTTTATAAGAAAAATAAGAAAAATATTCCTATATTAGATAATATATTTTATAATTAGTTAAAAAAACTCTTATTAAAGAACTTTATAAGTAAAAAAGTAAGAGAAAAATTAATAAGTTAACTTTTTAATATAGTTATTATTATTATTATTATTATAATTATTATTATTATTATTATTATTATTTATTATATTAAATATATTATTAAATATAATTTTATTTAAAAGCTTAATTAATATATCTATAATATTAAACTTAATATCTATATAAAATAATATTATATCTTTATTTAATAAAAATTCTCTAGTAAAATAATATTTTATATTAATATATTTAGATTTCTTATAAAATTTAAGATTTTTAGCTAATTTTTTAGCTATTAAATTATCTATAAAAATCTTAAGTTTATTTATAATATTAAAACTTAAATTAATTAAATTAAAATTATAATTATTATATAGATATAAAGTTTCTTTTATTACTTTAGTTAAAGCTATATATTTAGCTTTATAAGTAAATAAAACTATTATTTTTTATTTTATAATACTATAAGATATTATATTATATAATCTTTAGTAAAATATATAAACTAATATAGATTTTCTATTATTTAAGTTTTTAATTTAATTTAAATCTAAATAACTTATTAAATTTTATATTATATTATTATTATAGTTATAATAAATTCCTTTATTAAAATAATTATTTATATAATATTATAAATAATTTAGAGCTATAAAATACTTTTTAAAAGAATTTATTATATATCTTAATAATATTATAATTATTAGAGCTATATTATATTTAGTTTTTAAAGCTAGATATATAAATATTTCTATTTATTATTAAAATAATAGAATTTCTTTTTTTATAATAATATATTTATTTATATATAGTTTTATATTATTCTTTATAAGAGTTATAAATAGATTTATATTAGTTTTATTATATTTATTTAATATTTTTTAAATATATTTAGTTTAATATATAAAGAAAAACTTATTAAGTTTATTTATATTAAACTTATAGCTTAAAAAAGTATTAAGCTTTTTTAATAGTTATATTTTTATAAATTATTTTAGTTTATTATATATATAGTTATTAGTAGTAATATTATTAGTTACTAATAATATATTATTTATATAATAATAAATTATAGCTTTATAGCTATTTTTATTTAATATAAATATTATTTTATTATAAAGTAAAATAGTAAATTCTAATTTTAATAATATAGCTTTTAAATAGTTATACTATAGTTTAAAACTTTATTTTAATTTATATAAAGTTTTAAGAAATTTATAATAATATTTATTATTATTAGACTAATAGTTATAATTAAGATTAAATTCTAATTTATTTATAGTTTTATTATATAAAAAACCTATTAGTAATATTATATATATATCTATATTTATATTAGTATAAATAAATACTATAATAATATTATATTATAAAAGAATTTAATCTTTTTTTATAATAAATATAATTATAAACTTATAACTTTTAGGTTTATAAATAGTAAAAAAGGTTTCTAAGTAATTAATATTTAAATATTAATTAAAACTTTAAGTAACTTATCTTATTTTATATTTATAAATATTATTTATTTTATTTTTTAATTTTATAGTATATACCTATCTACTACTTAATAGATAAATATTATTTAGTTTTTATATAATTTCTTAAGTTTTTATATTTTTTATTTAAGTTATTTTTAATTATATAGTTTAAATCTAATTATCTTTATAAAGAGAATTTAAAGCTTATTTTATATTAGAAAGCTTTTTTAATATAATAACTAATAGTATATAAAAAACTTTTTTTATAAAATTAGTTTTAATAGTTTTATTATTATTAGTTATAATATTATTATTTATTTTATATATATTAAGAATAGAGTAATTTTAAATAATAAATAATAATATACTTTTAGTATTATTAACTATATTATTAACTTATTAGTAGTTTTTTTTAGTTTCTTCTAATAAAGAGAGGATCTTTATTAATAACTTAAATTTTTCTTTATTTATTTCTCTATTATTAATATTAATAGTTTTCTTATTATTATTATATAAAATACTTATATTAATATTAATATTATAGCTATTATTATATAAAATAATATTATAATTTTTATTATTATTATTAATAATATTATTATTAGTATTATTATTATTATTATTATTATTATTATTATTATTATTATTATTATTATTATTATTATTATTATTATTATTATTATTATTATTATTATTTATATTATTATTATTATTAATAATAGTTTTATTACTTAAATTCTTAAGAGCGTTATTAATAATAATAATATCTCTACTTATAGTAAGATTATTACTATAAGAGATAGAT